TTATCTTCCCAGTCCAGTCCTTCACTAGTTTTCCTTTTCCATTTCGAATTCCATACTCTGAGCTGAGTGAGCATTTGGAGCTTGCTCAGGCTGGAACTAGTAGCAACTGTCCTGCTACATTTGACACTGTTTTGATCCATTCCTTGTGAAATTTTACTTTRTTTTTCTACTCAGGATTTTATCTGGTCAAAACTGTGTGTCTGCCTCTTCTTGTGGCTGAAATAATGACCCGTCCTGAGTAAAACAAAACCTCTGCCCTAAAACACTGTAAAACATGTCAGGGGAGGCAAGGATGAGCAGCAGGGGAGGAAAGAGAGGGTGTGGCTCCTCAGAGAGAAATTCGCCAGTAGTGTTTTCAACAGTGGGGTTGTAGGTAATGTAAAATTTAGTTGCTGTAAAAGGATGCCTGTGATCATGTTTTGTTTCTGTGCATCTAATTCAGTGAGTTGGGATTTGCCATGCTACTGCTTCAGTCTTGGGCACTAGCAGTGTGCACAAGCCCTGGAAGTTGCAACTTTAAATAATTTACAGCAAGGAGAGGAGATCAAGGTGGCACATGTCTAGAGGACTCKGGTTGCATCCTGGAGCCGACTGCTGATGGGCACTGGTAACCTGTGTGAGCTATGTGCTTGGCTGCTCCAAGTTCAGTGCCAGAGGCATTCTTCATACTCAAGTATTTGAAGATACTTGTTAGGACTGTGAAATGAAAATCAAATGTTTTCTGTTCCAAGTAAGATTGTTCTTTTTTTTTTTTTATTTTTTTTTATTTTTTCCCTATGGTCTTTGTTTCACATGCCCTGAGCAAGATTTTTCTTGAGGAAGAAACAGACATTTGTACTGCTGTCCTTTCTCTGCACACTTGAAACAGTTTTGTTTATCCTATATTAGGACCAGTATATCAAAACAACTCCCAGATACACAATTTCTGTCGTGTACAAGTTTAGTTGCTGCTGATGTTTTGGGATGTTTTCATGGTTGCTTTTGTAAGTGGAAGCCTTCTAAAGAAATTGCAGGGCTTAAATAACACCATCTTACTCACAGAAAGCAATGCCATACCTAGATCCTATTTCACTGCTGCCTTCTGTTTTAAATTGTGTTGTAAAACTCCTTGTAAAAATTTAATTCCCCTTCAACCTGTGACTTGATAGCAGAATGGTGAACCATTCAGTTAATTACTGAAACTGTGATCTTCAGCCAAGAAGAATGCAAGCTGAGTGACAATCTTTTAATTAATGRACAAAAACTTAGGGACTGGCAAAGGGAAGGGTTAAATTCTGAAAGGCAAATGGCACCAATACAGTTTTAGTTGCAATAGGTGACTTCTGGCAAACCCTGTTACTCTGTTTTAGCTGGTGTAGCCAGGCAATTCTTGAATATATAGATTGGTTGACACTCTGTATACACAACTTCTTCCTAGCTTAAGTCTTCAGAATCCCCTTWATTTTACTCCATGTCCAGATTATGATCCGGAACACTCCAAGGAAAGGTCTTCTGGAGGAATTTTTGTGATTTGTCCGYGTGCTTTTCCACCCCCACCCCTATAGTGAAATGGACTGTGATAATCACAAATGATTTGTAATTATAAAAAATTATTTGTAATTTGAACCACAGAAGCCGTATTCCCTGCAGGGAAGTACATTTTCTCCCTAGGGAGCACCTGTACTTTTGTCATAGKTGCTAAATTTCTYGTTTCTKCTGTCTGAGYCCCCAAATTCCAGTTGGTGCCTTCYTCCATGYTTCTCTAGGGACTTSGTGTGAGTGTTTGYCCTACAAGACCATTATGTCTTCATCATGTGGAGCTCTGYATTGCCCCTTGAGTTCCAGTTTCAGTTTTCCTGTGCCCATGTGCACAGTTCAGGTGGCGTGYAGGATGTGCTTGACCAGCTGTGCTGTTTCACCCCTGTCCACCCACAGCAGCAGTCTCAGCATCCTCCTCAGCCAGGCTGCACCATCAATAATCCATAATTCACTGGAATACATGGATAGATGTGTATACAGATAAAATCAGACTCACCAATCCATCTTAACATTTCTAAGAAATACTTATATTTAATAAACGTTAACCCTCAGGAGGACAGCAAAAGAAAAAGCACATTTTATTCTCAGATGTATTATTTGCCAGTGCTTGAACTCATTGAAGTGTGTTTCTCAYACCACCTCCCTCTTCCTCCTTCTCCCACTTGTATGTAAATATGGAAACAAGATTTTGAAGCAGTATAAATTGTAGCTATAGGATTTGGGTATGTGTGTGACCTTTGAAGGCTTTCTAGAAATTCTTGTTACCGCTTTAAGCGTGTGCACTTTTCTGACAGATTGAGGCTTGCTTCTTTCAGTTAAATATAGCATAACTGGAAAATAACAGAAATTATGACTGAAACACTGGTAACAGGCGGCTGAAGTGAATTTTTAATTGTATGTAATATGTAGTCACTGTGACCACCACTTTGACAATTTGACACCTCCCCTTTTCTTGGAATATATGAGAAGATTTTTTCATGCATTGWTTTAAGCAGTYATGTTATTTCCTTTTTCATCTTAGRAAAGTATGCAATTCYACTCTTGTTCCAAACATAGTTTTAGATTMCTTGTGGCTTTTGTCAAAGTGTTTTTGGCTAGGAACCAAGCCAGTTTRAAAAGCACAAAACATTCCTGTATTGTCCTTAATAATGACATAAAACTACTCTTATTCCATTAGTTACAGAATTAAAAAATAAACTTGGCTTCTCCTTAAGGCTTAGCCAATTTAGTGAAGAAAGAAAACATAATTGATGCCTGGGTAATTGAAACAATCAACAGTACTACYAAGCACTTAAAATCAGTGGTTTATAGAAAAGTATGATAATAGCAGCATAGCTGCGAGGAGCATCATCTGTGGGAAAAGTCATTATCAGTGCACCATTGTTTTTGTGTTGTACCAAGATTATAAGCAGCAAAAATGTCAYTCACAGTTCCCATAAGCAAGATAAAGCTTTGATGACAGTGGGTACGGAAGAACCTGGAAATGTTGATTRAATTCAGAGCTTCATCAGTTGCTAGTAACTATAATTTGTTGTGAAGTTGATTTAGGTTTTAGAGAACTGTTATTACAGCTGATTTTTTTTTTCTTCTTCATTCACAGTACACTTTATTCTGGGTGGAATGTAAATAGTGATTGTTGAAAAATCACTAGCACYTATGTAGTCATCCTTTGATAACAACAGATCATCCTTAAAAAGCAGAATGAAGACAGAAATAACTTGTACAACCACCAAGCATTAGTCACACGTAGCCCTTATATAATGCTTACGTCTTCAATCAGCATGCTGGCAGCTGGGCTTCTTTGTAATATTTGTTTGGAGAAGAAGCATCTATCTCATTTGGCAGGGGAAGAAATTGAAGCCAAGAGTTAAGGGACACGCTGGGGGGCACAGAGCGCTCAGCTGGGTAGAGTGTTACAAGTAAGAGGCATCCATCATCCTGCATCAAGCAGAGCCTACAGCAGAGCGGATGCTGTAGCGGGGTCTCCTCGTGTGCTTTCCGCACTCCAACCCCGGCCTGTTGGATACACTGTTTTATCAGGCAGAGCCAGTGAATGCTCTGCTGCAGCACCTCTGCAGTTTTCCCTTTTGTTWGTTGTTGTTCTGGGCAAGGAGGCATATTTCTTCTTCGCTGTGTTTTGCCTTGATGGGAAGGGCAAATAAAAATACATAGCATGAAATATTGAAAATGGCTTTTCCTGCACTTGAAAGCGAAAATGTAGTAGGCTTGAGCCTAAMACCAAGAGAAACACTGAAATGTGCAAATTTTCCTTGGAGGATTTGCCCACTTCACTGTGACTATGCAATCACAGTAATGTACGAAAATGGATGTGATTCTCTGGCAGATAAGCCATTGCTGTACAGAAATTTCCTTGTAATGGTTCGGTAACCRTTCTGGCTGTTTCCTTTTGTCTTGGTCCTGTCAGTTCACACATTTTGAATGTTTTTTCCCAACTGAAGAGCAAGGCTATTAAGAGGAGTTGGAAACACTCTGTGATGTCGTTCTGAAAGTTTATTTCTTGAGGCTGAAAATAAATGCATTGTAATCAGTTTTAATCCTAGAGAGTCCAACAGCTCAGAATACTTTTAGAGGACATTTTTTATTCCTAGCTTTTTGTTGATATGCTGGGAATTATGTTATAGCTTGGTTTGTCCATAACCATATGTTATGTTTTCAGTTTCTCCGTTTCACAATTACGCGTAACAAATGGTGCCATTTTCTTTGATGATGTTCCAAGATGAAATGTTAATGTCCCCAGAGAACTCTAGAACTTTGTGTGATTTTATATAATTTTTAGAGTAAAAAAGCAAACCAAAGTGTTGAGAACCATTGACTCCAGTGATCAAACAAGACGAAGAAGTTCTTTCGTTAAGACAAAGGATTAAATTACATTACTATTGGATGACCTATAAAATTGCTGTAAAAATAATAGCAAAATTTGTTATAGAAGGTCCAGGGAAACTGAAGAGGATGTAATTAGTTATAAAAATTTAAGGTTGCACACAGAGTACCATCTGGTAGTAATTCCAAAACAAGTAATTAGTTTATTTTACTTCATGCAATGTAGTTGTGGAGCTTGTTGTCATGGGGTTTAGAGAGGCCAAAATTGCAATTGGGTTCAGAAAGAAATTGAGTAAGTTCATGGGAGATATATTAATAAGAGAATGCTGAACAATCTGGATGCAATCTTGCTATTTTTTGAGGATTTCTGAAACATGTGAGGATTTAGARGAAAGATCTGTTAGTGTTCAGTATTATTAATTTTTTAATGACACTGCTTTGTCACAAAGCGAATTTAGATTTTCTCACAAATTTGGCAATGTTTTGATTGCAAGTGTGTGGAGATGTTCTTTAGTGGCAGTTAAAAGTTCTTTATAAGCCTTGAAGTCACCTACCATTACTCTCTGATGTGTAGAAAACTATTGCTCTGAAAGCTCTGATGGTACAAAATAATTAATATGTCTGCTCTTTCTTTGCTGTAGGACGCCAAAGTTTGTTGGACCATTCGCCACGTGATGCAGGCTCAAAAGGAAAAGAGAGGAAACTACATGGGACTTGTCCTCCTGTTGGTCGTGGGAGTTATGGAAAGCCATGTTTGGGCGAAAGCAGCCCCAGGTCATCATTTTTCAGYCCCCGCAATGGGTTTCACACGATACATTCAGAGCACAGTCCTGTGAAGCCAAGGATAATTACAGTGGTGAAACCTGGGGGGCGCACGCTCAGGAGGATAACCTTGCTTCTYAACAGGAGATCGGTCCAGACCTTTGAACAGCTGATGGCTGACATTTCAGAAGCTCTGGGATTTCCTCGTTGGAAGAATGACCGTGTGAGAAAGCTTTACAATCTGAGAGGCAGAGAAATCCGAAGTGTTCCTGAGTTCTTCAGGGAAGGTGATGCGTTCATAGCTATGGGGAAGGAGCCTCTTACTTTGAAGGACCTGGAGGTGGTATTACAAGAACTTTATCCAGAAAATCCTTATGCTGCCAGTGCTGCCATTCAGCAGAATGAGGAGCAGTCCCAAAAGCTGAAAAGCAGGCTGTATGACAAGGCCTCGAAAGTAGACAGTGGYTTTGATGAGACAGAAATGTCCAAGAACTGTGGCGATGGCTTGTCATCCCAGCTGGCAGCTGGACATGAAGGAAAAAGTCAAGCCAAGACAAAGCAAGAGGAAAAAGTGAAAACTAAAAAAAAGTGGACTAGAGAGAGCTGGGGTRGTGAGCCTGGAGTGAAGCCTTCTAGAAAAACACGAGAAAGTGAAAGATACCTTAACCATGAGAGGAGTTCTGAGGAAGGCTTAGAAGACAGTGCGGAGAAGGTGCTGAGGTGTGAGAAGTGTGAACAGGAGAGGCAGGCCAGGGAGAAGTTACAGAGGGAAAGGCAGRCTGAGGCCTCATTTGAGAATAGAGACTTGAACACAGGCGCCTGTCAGAGGTACAACGTAGAAAGAAATGCAAAAATCAGGAACTGCCGAAAACCTTGTGAAACTTGTCTGGAGGGTGAGGAAGTTGGCTGGAAAGACAATAGCAGTAGGAGGATCTGGAAGCCATTACACAGGATTGTTAATGAAGGRCTGGAAAAGAAAAAAAGGAGCACTGAGAAGGAAAGGGATGTGGAGAAGCATGAAAACCATGGGAAGGAAGTAGTAAAAATCAGGAAGAACGCTGTAGAAGGGCTCCAGCTGTCTCRTGAAGTGAAGGAAGATAATGGAAGTAGCTGTGTAATGAACCAAACTGGCTGGGTAAAGAAAGACACTCTGAGGGATGCTGAGAAAATGTCTAAAACACACAGGGAGGGCAGAGAGGGACAAAGGGCTAAAGAGGAAGCTGCCAGAAGGGAAGGGAATGCCATATGTAGAGAGAGTGACATGACTCGACGAGAAAAAACAGGGGAGCGCAGAGTGAATAAAGAGGACGCCAAGGCTCAGGGATTGGAGARCAACAGCCGGAGGTATGCCATTAAAAGCAGAACTGATGTGGAAAAACACTATGAGATTGGCAGAACTATTGGGGATGGGAACTTTGCAGTGGTGAAGGAATGTCGCCACTGTGATTCCAAACAGATCTATGCTATGAAAATAGTTGATAAATCCAAGCTGAAGGGGAAGGAGGACATGATGGAAAGTGAAATTCTGATTATTCGGAGTCTCTCRCATCCCAATATAGTAAGCTTAATTGAGGTGTATGAGACAGAAGCTGAGATCTACTTAATCCTAGAGTATGTCCCAGGAGGGGACTTATTTGATGCAATCATAGAAAGTGTGAAGTTCACGGAGCACGATGCTGCTGTCATGATCACTGATCTGTGTGAAGCATTGGTTTATATTCACAGCAAGAACATTGTCCACAGGGACCTCAAACCGGAGAATCTTTTGGTAGGTATTGTCAAAAATCGGCATATGTGCAGGAATTGAATTTATTTTCCTTTCACTTATGGTTCTTTCAATTGTTTTAAGCAAATACTGCCCAGAGATAATGTGTTGTGGCAGGACTGTTTTGAAGTGAAATTACAATTGTGGTTTGCTTTACATAGATCTGTTGTGCATTGCAGATAGCAGTGGTTGCAGAAASGAATTCAAGTAAAAATTACCAGGCTTTTAGGGGTAGTGAGCATTTGTATTTTTCAGAAATCAGACCTTTACTGAGCATCTGACTTTTAGGTGTCCAAGGATGAATCATAAAGCATCTTTCTTACAGACTGCAATGTATTAAAATTGCTATTTTATCTTATTTRTTTGTTGGACTTTCTGTCCACTGCAGTTGCATATCTTGCAGRCTGCTGTGCTAGTCCTCTACTTTAGTGATTTCTATCTTGTGACAATTAATTTTCTTGGAAGCAGAAGTATTATGCAGTAAAATGTTTTGGTGAATGCATTTGGTGGATGACATTGAAGTCAGCTCAAATACTAACTTCATGCCAAAGAGAAAAATTCTTGTTTCCATCAYACTTCTGAGGCTGCATTCTTTGCATACAACACTGAAGTAAATAGTTACTCACTTGTGTGAATATGCATAGAAATGTTGGTCCTATTGACWCTCCACAAGATACCCATTGTAGAACTGTAACAGTAAACAACTCTCCCTTGCTAAGTGTGTTAGGCTTCCAAATTTCCTGATAAACAGATAAATAGGAAGTATTTTCCAGTCTCTAACAARTTGGACTTGATCAGCTTTTGTGGAAGATCATGGTTAGCCAAAGTAATGGGTTATTTAGTCCTATGGGCCATTCAGTGCTTCTTAGGGAATTCATTTTGCAAAGAGAGAGAGATCAGTGTGCATTCCTGGAGAAAAGCAGCAGTGTAGCCAAAAMCAAAAGGAAATGCAGAGGTTGCACAAGGCTGGGCTGGAACAGTTTGCTCCCAAACCTAGTCACTGAGCAATGGCATTCTATACTAGGTSCTGCTATGAATCCTGCTTAGTGTGACGAAAATCTTTGTTTTGTGATCTCTATGTAAATGAAAGATGGTGAGTGCAGCTGGCTGGTTTGCAGGAAGAAGTGGGCTTGTAGGCACTGCCTTTGTGCTTTGTTTGCACAAAGTTTGAACAAAACTTCACTTGGAGCTGCATGGCATTTTCCAGAAGCTGATTTTCCATTATGAACCAGGTCCTGCTCCTTCCTATTTGCTGCAAATAAGCTAGTGCATGTGAAACACCTGAGATCTGATGCTTCATTTCCCTCTATAATACACAATCATCATAGCGATGTAGATAAGGAGAGAAGGGCAAGAGAAAGGTCTGTTCTTGTTGTTTTCACATTTAATTCACCAAACTGCAAAATGGAGAATGCTGGGCAGTGGCAGGGTTRTGTAGCACTGAAATTATCATGTTGCCTATTCTGACAGTCAGAAWATATTTTTCAAGGACAGAGCAGCTCCCAGACTGTAGGTATTTTGTCGTACAAGAACAGTGTTACCTAAAGGCTGCAGGAAATATAATTTTAGTTGTTCTAGTTTGACCTTGGTGTTAATTTCTTGTGAGCACCATTGTTAGATACCATGTACTGAAAGCAAAAATGACTTTGAAAAGCAAGTAGATGTGAAAAGCAGGTCTATTCAACCATGCAAATAAGTTTACAAGCTCTTGATAGTATTGGATAGGTCAGCTGCCATCTAATAAGCATTCCTATAAATACAGGCCACTTGAGCTRGGTTCTGGGTTGTCTGCCTTTTTAGTGTGCTACCTCTTGTCTCTTCAGAGTGGCTGGAGCAGCAAAGTAGGAAGGAGAGCTACCACTAATCTTACCGTCAACCAGTGCTGAACGGTAACAAACAGTATTGAAGGAAATTTCTGGGTTCTGCTGTTGGTGGGTCAGGAGATGAAGCACAGTGCTTCAAGYTCCAGCATCCTGCAGAGATGTCCTTGTGTGTGGGATACCTCTTGTTAAACTGAGGGTGTTTAAATCTGAGTTAGTCTACCTAGATTTTGTACACAGAGGTCAATACATAGGTATGTACTTTTAAGCTGTTGACTTGTCTACTTTGGGTCTTCTTTTGGTCAGGTGAACCTTTTAATTGCTTGATCTTCTGCTTTTCCTCTTTAAGCAAATGGGAAATGGAAGAGAAGTGATCCCAGGTCTATTTCACAAAGGAAATGTGTATGTTTACTCTAAACCTGCTTTGTGTGAGAATCTAACYCTGTTCTTAATGACTTTTATACATATTGGGTAGTTGTCATAAGAGATGGGAGAGAAGCAGCAATCTGGGAAAAAAATTCTCATAAGTTTCATGAAAATAAGCAACTAGGGAAAGAAGGAAAACAGTTTCTGTCGCTACAGAAGAAAAGGTAGAAATATACTTTGATATCTAGTAAACTGTAAAATTATTGTTGCTGAAGAAAGTTGGAAACCTGGTTTAATTATTAGTTCACTCTGCTTCTGTTTCTCTTGTGTAACTGTCCTCTAGTTATAAACTTCTGTGCCAGGCCACCATCATCCTTTCTGCTTTTTCTCCTCCCTCTTTCCCTACCGAGTCTGCCCACAATGATCAGGCTCCTTGCAGCRTAGCTGTGAGGCAGAAGGGTGGTGACTTGCGCTACGAAAACAAAATCTGTTTGACAGCTGGTGTGAAGACAGCTGCTACGAGTGCCTCCCATCTGCTAACAGAATCACCTCATTTGGGACTAGGTGTTCAGCAAGAAAACCTTTGCTGCCAAGGATGGGCAATGTGGGGTGTTTGGTCTCACATGGGGCAACGTTTTTAGGTAAGGGGCTGTTTTAATTCTACAGTTGCTGGGGCTTCTTCACTTTTGAGTAAGAAATTAATGCCCAGGTGTGGTAGTGTTKTTCCAGGTTATAGCTGTAAAAGACACCAAGTCACCCCTTTTTAGGGCAAAGGGAAAGGGCTATATTTGTGCTTGTGTACTCATCTCCTTGAACATTTCTCTCACATGCTAATATGGTAATGGTTTAACACTCAGCTTCATAAATGTTACAGCTTTTTAAGCATTTGAGATTACTCCCCTGCCCCTTTTTCTGTCTCTCATTTTTCATGTATGTGTGAGAACTTTGAGTATAGCCTTTCTGACCTTGAACATTGTGACCCTATTTACATATATAAAGCACTATCCATTTTCCATCACTCTTTAAATATATACAAACCACTGCCAGTTTTCCCATTGCACATGAATTAAACTCCTGTTTAACCTAACTTCAAGTATGATAAACCTACATAGGGAATTTTCTGTAACATTTTTCACAGAGGTTCTTCTAGGTAGCAGCAAAGGATGTCTGAAACTCAAATGTGTAAGCAGTCATTTTTCTTATGCYCTGTTTATTTCCAATATGCAAAATATCACATGGGCTAACTTGCTTTCATGATGTCCATAAGAAGGTGATCTACCATATGCATGTGCATGCAGAGAAATATTAATGTCRTAAATCATCATCTTAGACACCCTGATGGATTTAACGAGGTAGGTATGAAATCAAGCAAGAACATTTAGTACTGGGACAGGAGAGAAGGAGAAAGATAATTTTTTTCCTTCTTTGAAGGAATTAGTTGATGAATTTGGCCTTATATTGTAATCTGGGATTTGCATGGCTGGGTTATCTAGAAATCCTCAGAAAATATTCTAATATCCTGCTGCGTCATCTATGTAGTGAAAGTGTAATGAATACTGTTCTTTCTTACCTCAATTGAGTAAGTCTATAGGCAGGCAGCACTTTTAAATGGCAAGAAAATTGCAGAAATAGCAATAGCTGTCTTTTAGGTATCACTGGGAAGGCTAGTATGTTTGTTTATTGTTACTATTTTTGCTTTGTTCTCACCGTTGCATAGAATACACACTGTAGATGTCAGAGAGATTTCTCTTGAGCAGGTTGTATGTTTCTGTAATAAATAGTCAGGCCTGAGGAATGAACAAAAAGAACTTAAAGCTTTTGTTACTACAGAGAAGCATATTTGCATGCTCAAGGTGATGCCAGGTGATGGAAAGGTATACAGGAGAGGAAGAAGCTGGGAATGAAGGGAATTCTCTGAGTTGTTCTGAGCATAGCGTTAGTGAAGCTGCTGGGAAGCCCTGGGCTTGCTGACAGGTTACATGCTGTCTCTGAAATGATTGTCACAGAGCTGTGAAAATATTTCCACCGTGCCTGCTGTTCCTACCTGCTCCGTTGTTAACTAAAGTGAAGGCTCCGTGGTTGTGTCCTGAAAGAAGAGATGGTGCAGTGTTGCCACCTTGTGCTGTAATGGGAGATTAGGAGTTTGGCATCCTGAGAAAAGAAAAAGTAAAACGGTGAATTTTACAAAGCAAGAAATCTCCTGAAGATTTTGGGATTGAGATTARGATCAGTGTGTTCTCCACTCTTCCCACCACCCTGCTGTTTTCCAAAAATGTGTATAAAATTTCAGTGTTATTTTTCTTAATGTCATGCAGGGTAGCTGAAATTCCATGTGACATACTTTTCTTATATAATTAAAAAGAATATGTATAGAATAGGAAAATACATTCATACTCATATTTTCATATTGCATATTAAATTGAGCATTTCTATTATGAATTTTTGTAACATCCTGCCACTGTTAAATTCTATAGATAGATGTTGTTCTAGAAAGTGTTGCCTTTATAATTTTTTGTCACTTTTGTCATTTTGTGTCCACAGTGCATGATGGAAAAAGGTTGTACATAGTTGCTAGTATAATTGAGAAAATGGCTGTGACATTTTAACTTCTTCTTRCAGACATTTTGACTGCATGGTTGTAGTAAACTTCATTTTTCAGTTTCRTTCTGAAAATAAGTTTTTTCTTGGAAAAGCAGAAAAAAACCCCAGCAAAATGTTTTGATTAATCAAAACTAGGAGTGTGCACAAGGGACTTCTAGCTCAGGGGCAGCTTCTTGTCCCCCAGGAACCCTGAGCTCCTTCTCTGCAGAGCTGCTTTCCAGCAGCTCAGCCCCCAGCCTGTACTGATGCCTGGGTTATTCCTGCCCAGGTTCTGGACCCTGCCCTTGTATTTGTTGGATTTCAAGGGTTCTACCCTGCCTGTCTCTCACATCTGTTGAGATCTTTCTGAATTGCCACATAGGGTTCTCGGGCATCAGTCATTCCTCCCAGTTTTGTGTTGTGCAGTTTTTATGAGGAAAATAAAAAAGGATTTAGTAGGCTATATTGTGATATTTGGTAATATCCTATTTTTTTTCTTAGAAAGAAAAAAATAAAACCCATCAAAAAGTTCAAACACATTTTGCTTAATCAAAATTGGATGAGTGCTTACATATTCTGTAAAGAAGAGAAATAGGGATTAGTCAAATGTARTGTATAAGGGCAAATTTTGTCCCATCTGTTACCTTAGTTATCTGTTATTAGAGACCATCCTGAATTTTTGGCTTTCTTAAGTGGTGTGTGATGGCAAAGTATGAGATGTTAAAGCATGGAGTGTACCCTATCACATTTGTATTCCAGTCTGGCCATTCAAAACCAAGTCCAGACTTCCTTGGCTTTTTTGTAGACATTTTAGCCTCGGATCTGTTCCCCATAGTTACAGAGACAGTTTTTCATTTKTTGAAATGTCATTTTTTAGTTCTCAAAGATTATTTGAATGTCAGTCACTAATATTAAGCATACTGATTTATTTAATTATACTGCTGCATTGTTTATTGGCTTAGCCTTTGAATATAGAATCATAGAATGGTTTGGTTTGGAARGGACCTTTAAAGGTCATGTAGCCTAAGCCCCTGCAATGAGCAGGGATATCTCAACTAGAGCAGGTTGCTCAGAACTCTGCCCAACCTGGCTTTGAATGTTMCCAGGGATGATGGAGTATCTACCGCCTCTCTGGGCAACCTGTTCCAGGGTTTCACTACCCTCATTATAAAAYGTTTCTTCCTAGAGTTTAGTCTGAATCTACTTTCCTTCTGTTTAAAGTTATTGCCCCTTGTCCTGCTGTTGCAGGGCCTGCTATAAAACCTGTCCCTATCTTAATTAAAGCCCCCTTTAATCATTGAAAGGCCACAGTAAGGTCTGTCTGCAGCCTTCTTTTCTTCAGGCTGAACAACCACAACTCTCACAGCCTTTCCTCACAAGAGAGGTGCTCCATCCCTCTTTCCTGGCTCTYGTCTGGACTCAGTCCAACAGGTCCATGTCCTTCCTGTGCTGGGGGACCCCAGATCTGGATGCAGCACTGCAGGTGGGGTCTCACCAGAGTGGAGCAGAGGGGCAGAATCCCCTCCCTTGCCCTGCTGGGCACGCTGCTTTGGATGCAGCCCAGGATATGGTTTGCTTTCTGGACTGCAGCTGCACATTGCCAGCTCATTCCAGTTTTTCATCCATGAGCACCCCCAAATTGCTCTCCACAGGGCTGCTCCTGATCCATAAACCAGTCAGTATTGATACCAGGGATTGTCCTAGCTCAGGTGTAAGACCCTRTACTTGTCTTGCTGAATCTTACGAGGCTCAACCTTCTTGAGCTTGTCCAGGTACCTCTGGATGACATCCCATTCTTCAGRYTCATCACTCAGCYTGGTGTTGTCTGTCAGRTTGCTGAGGGTGTGCTCRATCCCACTGTCTGTGTCACTAGCATATTCATTTCTTAAAATAACTCTTCATTAACTGCATTATAAAGTAATGCTAAAGACCCATGCATGCAAAATTAGAATTGGAAAAAGTGTTTTGACTAATTGCCAGGTGGATGTAGGAGGTGAGAACTGCTGAAAAGACCCAGTTAGGAGGTCATTCTGCATAGACCTATTTTTACAACTCTTGCTGTGTGGTGACCRTTACCAATCTAGTTTCAGGGCAGCAGGTAGAGTAGCAGAGTGATTTGGAAAGAACATAAAGCTTTTGTTGGTTTGCTTTTTGTTGTTARACCAGTATGATGGAGATATGCTTCTCAAGTGTCTTGGTTTTAGCTGGGATAGAGTTATTTTTTCTACTTAGTAGCTGGTACAGTGCTGTACTTTGGATTTAGTATGGGAATAACATTGATAACATACGGTTGTTTTGGTGGTTGCTGAGCAGTGCTTTCCCTAAGTCAAGGAATTCTCGGTGTCCCATGATCTGCCAGGCACCAGGTGTACCTAAAGCTGGGAGGGAGCRTGGCCAGGGCAGCTGACCCAAAGGCATATTCCATGCCATGGAACATTATCCTCAGTAAATAAACTGAATGTAGTGGGCCAGGAGTTGCTGGTTGGGGGTCAGTGAGCAATTGTATTGTGTACATTTGTTTTCTTGGGTTTTATTCCTCTCTCTTGCTGTCACTCCCTCCCCCGTTCCCCTTCTCATTACAGTTGTTACAGTTCTTACTGTTATTATTGTTATACTTTTATTTATTAAATTGTTCTTATCTCAACCCACCTTTTTTTTTGGGTTCTCCTTCCCATCCTGCTATGGGCAGAAGAGGGATGAGTGACTGAGCAGTTGTGTGGTACTTAGTTGCTGTCTGGGGATAAAGCATAATTATGAATTCACAGTAGTTTACTTGGGCTCATTGYATTTAAGCATGAAGACATCCACAGCATTCTTCTTTGCTTTCCCAGGGATAAAGAACAGTTTATTTTTTCATGAGGAAATAATAAGATTCAATTGACTCTTGGTTATTTTTTGTGTTCCTTCTGTTCATTTCTTGGAAATTGCTGTGTGCCGGAGTTAGTAGAGCAAAGTTTTCTTTTTTTTTGCATAATTGCTTATCCTGTTAAATTAATGCACCTTTTTAGTATGGGGGGAAAACAACCATGTTCTGAAGACTGTTCTAGTATTATTATTAGAACTCTTTCCTGTTTTATTACCTGCTTCCTTTATATTTTGATGTTTTAAAATGCATGTGGACTAAGCCTATATATCTTCTGTTTGGGTATAGGTTCAACACAACGCAGATAAATCTACTACACTGAAACTGGCAGATTTCGGCCTCGCAAAGCAGGTTACAAAACCCATATTTACTGTCTGTGGAACACCAACGTATGTTGCTCCTGAAATACTTGCTGAGAAGGGTAAGTGGATATATTGGATATATTTATAATTTGTCATAAATCTTACAATTACGCTGAACTTTCTAATAATGGAAATAGTCCAGAATGTTTCAACCTACTGATCCATCTCTTCAGGGTAGGAGGTTGGCTAGCAGTGCAATTTGGGAAAGGAAATCTCTTAGTTTTTAACAAACACAATCATTACATCAGTTATATTGGCATTATTATGTCTCTATTAACACAGACTTCCAAGCAGATAAGCCATAAAATAATTGCTAAATAATAGTGATTGCTAAAGTGGGGAAATGACCAAAAGGTCATGTTGCAACTTAGGAGTAGCCAGCCCTATTTTGTGACTGTAACCCTAACAACTTCCCAGAGCCCCTGATGATGCAAAATYATTGTGAACGTATATGTTGGATTTATGTAACAATCCAAAACATGTTTCACATCACAAAGAATTTTGAAGATTTCATACCCAAAAAGATTCAGACCTGGAAAGAAGTCAGTTTTGTTGGTGACTCAAGCACATCTATTTTTGATTTTTGTTCTGTGGAGCTGGATTGCACATCTCCARTTATATCCAATTTCAATGGAAACTTGGCACTCTTAGCTCTTTTTTGAAGGGAATCTGAGGATGTCTATTTTAGAAATATGTGCTGTGTTTTCTCTATTAGTCTCCAGTTGACACTGGCCTTGTGAGGCAGTGTTTGTGAAACATTTTGTGGAAAAGAGTGACTCTGTGAGAGCTGTAGCTAATAATGGGCAGCTTATAGGCATGGTGTACCAGCCACTTATTCTTTTGCTGATCTCATCTTTTGGACAAACTGAGCAGAGATTCTGTGTTTCTTTTTCATTCGATTTCCATGGAACAGTTCCTTAGCAGTTGTGAGTTTTCTTTCTAAAACAAGACTTAATGGTTTGTCTCTTTTTCCTCAGGCTATGGACTTGAAGTAGACATGTGGGCAGCCGGTGTGATCCTGTACATCCTGCTCTGCGGTTTTCCCCCTTTTCGCAGTCAGGACCGCGATCAAGACGAGCTGTTCCAGATCATACAGCTGGGTCACTTTGAGTTCTTATCCCCTTATTGGGACAATATTTCTGCAGGTAAGATTTTGCCTTTATAGCAGATCTGAGAAGTGGCAGTCTTCTTCCCTGGAGGGGGAGAAACTCTTTTTTCAGGGCAGTGTTCTTGAATGTTGGGGTGCTTTACAGGTTTCTCTTGTGTGAATCTGTGCTGTAAATGTGAATGTAGTCCTCTGGTACTATTGATGGCTGTGTTTCTGCATTGCTTCTGAATGTTTTAATGGATTGCTCTCTTTCTAGGCAAGAGTAAGGGTTTTCCTCACCTTGTTTATATGCCTCTGCAGAAAAAGATGCCAAAATAATCTCAAGGGTTCTGTTAGACTGTAAATATGAACGCAAAAAATCTCAAAAGCTGAGAATGAAATCCTTGCCCTGCAGAATGCAGTGTRGATTTTCTGATGACTATCCTGTCTGCATGCAGTAATTTTTTCCTTCTCACAGGACTAGTACAGCGTCTTTTGTGCACTCTTCAAAATCAGAAACCTTAAAATTCCCTTGCACTCTGCACAGTCTTTTAAAGAACATATTCCACAGCATTCTATAACATTTATGCTCCTTAAGGGATGAAATACCCAGTGCTCATTCCTGTGAATGTGAGCACTTAGCCTGAYGCCTTCAGCACACTTCTGAGGTTAAATATCCCTCATTCAGGGGGATATTTAACCTCTCTGTCTGAAGGGGTGAATGACATCAGTCATGGAGRCTTAATATCTCCTGTCACTAATTCTAACTCCATTTGTTAGAATAGCTCCTGGGGGTAATCACAAAAGACATGGTAAAACTAATGAAAAAAAYAAGAAAGACATTTTGTGTGGGTGTCGCTCTGACCATCACAGAATGGGTGGGGTTGGAAATGACCACAGTGGGTCTTGAGTTTCAAACACCCTGCTCAAGCAGAGCCATCCTGGAGCATGTTGCACAGGATCATTGCCCCACTGTACTTCAGCCCTGTCTCCTTTGCTTTCTTCCATAACAGCAGCRAAAGACCTCATCACCAGGCTGTTGATAGTGGATCCCCAGAAACGCTACACAGCACGTCAAGTACTTCAGCACCCCTGGATCAGAACAGCTGGGAAAACTAACAGCAGGAATTTGCAGAGGGAAGTGACCATAAATATTGAGCGCCATTTCCGGGCCCAGCGCCGAAAGGAAGTTGCTGATGAGAAAACATGAAMTCTTTCAAGCTCATTTTGTCTTCTTTTAATTGATTAACAGTTCATTTATGTTTTCTAAATGAATTGGGAATTCAATGTGTACCTGTTGGTGGCTATTGCCATGCCTTTTTTTTTTTTTGATTCTGAGATTCTGAAGGACAAAGATCAAATTTACACTCACCTCCTCTGATCTTGGCAGTCTCTCTGTTGAAAGCAGTGAGGACTAGATAAATTCTGGAGGGTGTCTATTATTTTTCTTTAAATACTGATTTTGGCTTTTACATCTGTTTAAGATGGAAAATGTTTGCTTATGTGACTGGCACTAGTGGTGATTCTTCTCTCATCGTTTTTGTATAATACCTTTGAGGGGTTTTGTGTTTATAATGTTTTCAAAATAGCTGTCTGCATACACATCTTGCACTAATTCTTTAAACTGTCTTTTCACTAATTCCTTCTAGCCACAGAGAAGGAAGAATAAAAAGTAAATGCATTCTTTAGGATATATTAAATAAACAGCCAAATACTGTATTTATTAAGTTGTGAGGGAAGAAAAGCCCTTRCTGACTAAATCTGATGTTTTATGGTATCTCTCTTGGTAACATCTTTCATTATTTGTTCAGAGTAATAGATGGTAGAGTGTTTCTGTTGCACAGTGATAGTGCTGTGTAACACAGGGGTTTCATTTCTTCGTGAGAAGGGGGAGGATATGGCTGATACCCTTTCAGGACTGTAATAATAACAACTTTCAACGAGGTTTTCTTCCTTCTCTGGGAAGTAGGAAGTTAAGCAGTTCTAAGGGCACTTTGCTTCTTTTCCCAAAGTCATAATTATGGAATGATATTTCAGGCACTTTTCCATATTGAATTTTTTCCCCCTTTGAGACATCCATGTGCATCTGTGACTCTTCCATGCTGATGGAGAAGAAAAAACTGGGAAATTGTGACTAAAGTTAACCTTCCCTCTTCATCAAAATGCCTCACAGCTGATTTGCTTTTTTACACTTTTTCAGTGTAGTTTAGCAATTGTTTTGTTTGATTGGTTGGGGTGATTTTGTCTCTTGCCCTCCCTTTGGCCTTTTCCTCCTGGTTTCCATGAGAATAGGCAATGGGATGAAATTCCAACTTGGGGAAAAACAACTTGTTGACAATGGAAAGGTCTCCCAGGGGAAGTGTCAGATTCTCTGTTACATGTGTTTTTAATATTACTGGATGCAGTTTTAAAGAAATCCYGAGGGGGAAAAATACAGTCCAGAGAGGGACCATGACCTAGAACAGCTTCTGAATCTCAGAATTTTTGGTTARCTAATTAAATTCAAAAAGCACTTGGGTTGTCCATTTTGATAATTCTTTGTCCTCGCGTTCCATCTATTTGTGCTAGCAAATAATATTGATATTAGAATATCAGTTGTGTTAGCATTGAATACATAGTGTGTAGAAATGAAGGCGGGTATTTTACACTTGGAGAGCTGCTGCTCTGCCTATGTATTTCCTCATGAGAAATGTCAGAAGCATTTCAGAATTAGTGAAACATTTTCACAACTATATGAACCAGAATATTATTTTTTTGGTGAGAGCTAATAYTTTGTGTGAACTTTCTCAATAACCAAAAAGTGTAGGGTGCTGTCATCATGTTTCTGTTTCATCTTGTGACTGTACTGCTGCAAGAATTCTGTATAAAAGTAGAGATCACTTGACTCTTAAAGGAGAATTGCACTTTAAATGGAATTAGTTTATTTCTAATACTTATTGGAATAAGACCTGCTGTAGAGTTCAAGAACTGGTGAAACAAACCAATCAAATCTTTACTGTATGCCCAAGTAGTATCTATACGATATGTCATACTTCTGCTTTGAAGTCTTTGAGTCAGGAAGACTTTTCCTTTTCCTGAAAACAAGAATGGATTTAATGCTTCCCTGAGTTAAGGGAACCTAATGTAACCTAATATTCTAAAAGCATTATATAGTATTTSAGTATTAGTAATAATGTATCCTCTGTTAACTTAAGTCTATTTTGGATAGGAAACTGTGGAAAAATAGCTTCTGATGTGCAATACTATATTTTGTAATTATCTTATTTTTAATATAGTTATTTAGGAATAAAGTCTGAAGTGACAAAAAATGTTTAAACAGCAATGAATCTGAAAGTTTAGAGATTGTGTTACAAGTTGCCTTTTTCACTTCTAGGAACCTGTCTGCAGCCTTATTCATAGTGCAGAAGATAATGAATTTGCTGGTGATGATTATAGAAGTAATTATTTTTTCAATGATTTTGTTTTTATTTCAAGTTCTCTGGGTTCCAGATGGGCTAAACATGGACTGTGCTGGGTAATCACTGCATGGCACCTGTGAGTGCAGATGCTGCAGTGGCAGTGCTGAGGCACTGGTTTGGCATTGTTGCTCATAGACGTGTGGCATTGGGCCCTGCTCCTTCAGGTTGGAGGCTGAAAAAGCTTCCAGGTGCTTCTCAGGGTTTTTACCTCTTTCTTTCTCTTTCCTACTTCATTATTCCTTCTTTTTTCTTCTTACTTCCAGTGTTGTTGCTCTGCCTCTGTGCTGTCCTAGGGWGTCCAGCTCCCCAAACATTATGGTTTAAGTTGCTTGTAGCTATGAGAACCCATATGATTTTGAAAAGCTCAGCATTGCTTGCTGATGTTGAAGGTCAGTAATGTTAGGGAGGACTCAGGCAAAAAATGGTGAAAATCCCCTCTCATGTCCTATTGCCTTTTTTCAGGCTTTTCTTTCCCCACTGTGTGACATTCCAACGCAGACTTGATCTTCATTCTCTGCAAGATGTTTCCTAATATATGAACCGTGTTCACACTCTGTGATTGAAGATTATCAACTGTTCTTCCTTTCCTGAAATTTTTCTGATGTATACTGTCTCCCTGTGTTCTGGACTCATCTTCCCCTTAACGTTTTAATTTCTTGATTGGTTCCTTTCTCTGCAGTAAGTCTGAGGCAGCTCAAAGCTGGGGGAGATTGTAGACTTAGAACAAATTCTTGCTGGTTTGTTTGGAGGAAGAAATATCCCTCCTTGCCCTTCCGTAAGTCTTTGTGGATTGGATTCTCGTATGGCTTTATATTCAACTTAAAATAAAATAAGTTATAGTGTCCTCATCTCTTTAAATACTGACAAGGAAGAGAGTCTGAATCTATCACCAAGAAAAACGCTGCCCCCCCAAGAACTAAGTACAAAGTATTAATATTGCAGACCTCAGCAGGAAAGTTGCACTTCCAGAGGATTTGGTGAGTCTAAGGCAATAGAAGGGGAAACTCTATTAGTTTGCTGCAAGCTTTAGCAAATCAGCTGAGTGGGAATCCTGTCRTGCCTCTTAAAAGGTTTTGGTTGARTCYCAACTCACARTGGAGATYCTGACCAAGTTYTAGTTATTCCAGGGTTGTTTCTTTACTCTCTGGTATTGGCTATTTAAAAAATATTCTCTTTTTTAGAAACCAGAGGCTCTCCATAATCTTCAACCATGACTTGGCTCTTCTTTAGTTGGTTGCGGCTTTTAAGCATGCTTGCATATTTTCATGCCCTAACTGTAATATTTCTCAGACTTGAAGTAAGCACAAAGATCCAAGCATATATAATTGAGTCATCAATATTTCATTTTGTAGTGAAGCAACAACATGCCTAATAGAGTTGCTCTTTTATCTTTTCAATTTTTTATTTTTTAATTTATTAGTAGATCAGCACTTTATATCATAGTCAAGGCTTTCAACTACAATGGTTGCAAAAGTGGTCACTAAAGCATAGTTGAGGTTTTGGTAAGGATGTGCTATTCCCAGAGATCAGCCAAAGAGTACCATGAAGCATTTTGAGCATCCATAGACAACAGTGTCAATAGCTTTGTGCAAGATAGACTTCCTCTGACTGTGTTTGGAGTTTCTGAACATTAAATCCAGGCTTTTAGTGACTGCCTGTGACTAAATAGGAATTCTCTTCTGTGGCGTGCTTTCCACTGTCTGAAGATAATGTGGTCCCTGGATATCTACTCTGTTTGCCACCAAGGTCAACTTCCCCACTTTCCCATGTGCTATTACATTTCATTGGTCCTAGACCTCACCTACATATTTTCTAAAACCTGTTATCTGCCTGCTGTCGTCGGCCTCTTATCCCCTTGGATGAGTCCCATTATTGAAAGATGGTGAGATCTGCACATATTAATATATTTTGCTTCAGGAAATTCTGGCCTCAGAAATGAGAATGAGCAAAAATTTTGGGAAATATTTATGCATCGAAACTCGGCAAAAGTCTGGCATTTGATGTTGCRTGGTGCATAACTGCCTGAAAATGAACAATGGGAATTTGGTTGTTCACGTGTTTTGTCACCTAATATTTAAAAATGTGTGCTCAGGAGATTTGTGATTGGAGCTTGGCAGTACAGCACAGACTGTTTTCTCTGAGACACAGTCACTTTAATTTCTTTTATTCAGGAACCTAAGGTTGTTTAGCAGCTATGTGGAATAACTGGACTCAAACACCATTAAACCTTCACCTCGCTTCTGATTGGCATTTTAGATGGATTTCCTGTATCTCTGTTGCTGCAATTTTTGGCTGTAGGGTGATGGAGGGGATAATGGGATGTTTTCTCCTGAGCCTAAGCCTCTTGGGTTTTGGTCCTCTTGTTAAAAGTGAACTTTCATGAGTGACTGCTTGCTTTTCTGCAATTACCCTGATCTGGGAAGATACTCAGTCTGCTTGAAAATATAGTAAATTTGCTGTATTTACAAACTGATCTTCCCAAAGACACATAAGGATCACTCTGAAACTCTTTTCCTATATTTTTTTTCTGTCACCTGGATTTGTTTTAATTTAAGCAATGTAAGGAAAACGATTTTTATGTTTCTGAGCATGTGTTTTTCTGTCTTTTCTAAGTCCACTGGTAATACTTTACTGTTGACATTCTTGCTCCTGAAAGGAATTATGGGCACTTTAACTGGGCTGACAGTGTATATTGGCACTGTTTGTTCTACAATATGGTTTATTTGTAACTAGGCTGAAGGTGTAATTTTATAAATTAAAATACATTGTAGACTTCAGCAGAAAAATTATTATTCCTTTCCCTGTACCTCCGATCGAGGCAAATTATACAGTGAATGTTACGTTTCAATTCTTTCCAATAAATTGGGAAACAACTGTGTGGCCAAGTATTTTGAGATTTTTTTTTTTCTTCTGGCAATGTATCTGTTTGGAAAATGCTTGTTTTAAAGGGTTTGCAATTTTAGTAAGGATAACATAAGGTAAGGAGTGTACCTTCATTTACAAGTAGAAGACCCCATTCTAATGCTGCTGTCATTTGAATACTTACAAATGTGTTTTTCTTTGCTGCTGCATGTAATCCCATTAAAACCACCACAAATCTGCTGAACTGGAGCTGAGATTCGTTCTACCACCAGTTTTGGCTCTGTGCTGCGTTAGTCATATATGTTATGATGTTAGAGCAATCATGAAGCAGACCTAGCTTCATTGTGGCTTAATGCACACACA